TAGCTAGCCAAGTGAGATCCAGCTCTGAACCATCAGGCCATAAAGTCAATCCCCTTAACCACTGCCTTTTATATAGCACTTATTGGGGGGCAAGGTTTTAGGTTCACAGCAAAACTGAACAGAAAGTAGAGTTCCTATATGCTTTCTGCCTACACACAAGGACAACTTCCCCCACTATTAACATCTGGCACCAAAGTGGTACATTTGTTACAACTGTCAACGGAAATAACCAAGTTCTGCAGGAAAAAATTAATACAATTCATTCTAAGTACAAAATTGAGTGACCAGGCCAAGAGATAGACAAGATATATTAGCATAAGGAAATATAGTGGTTCTCTTTATTTAGTTCTAAGAACAGAGAGTTGTCAATCTATCTAAGGAGTCTTTTATGCTGACCTGGCCCAAAAAGGTAGGACATCTGTTAAGTGGAGGCTTGGAGGTTATCAGTGAGTTTGAAATTCCTAGGTTAGTAATTGATTAAAAAAAAAAACACACAAGTCTTAGGGCCAGCAGGTGGCAGGGTGGTTAAGGTGCTGGACTCTCACATGGCTGATTGTGGTTTGGGTCCCAGACCCAGAGGCTTGCTTTCTCACTTACTTTCTGGTCAAACTGAAAAGTGATAATAGTGATAAATACAATTAAATAAATAACTCTTAAAGAAAAAAAAAATGGGGACCAAAAGTTGGCATAATGGCTATGCTGCTGGAGTCCCATATAGTAGACCATGGTTCGAGTCAGACCACGGTTCGAGTCCCAGACCTGGTGGCTTAAACTCACGCTGGGCACATGTGTGTGCGTGCGCAAGATCCTGAGAGGAGAATGGAGGAAAAGGGATTGTGGCATGGCCATCCCCTCGGGGGTTGATTTCTCACTTTCTGTCTCTTTCTGGCAAGCACACGCGCCCTATAGCAAAAACCTCTCAAAAACAAACAAACAAAAAACACAAGTCTTGATTCCCAAAAGAAAATCAACAAAGGAAGGCCTGTGCTTGATTTTAACAATCAAAGAGCTTACACTGACACATAGGCCAAAATCTTAGGCTAGTGTTGTATATTCTGTAGGTTTTCATAAATGTACAATTGACAGGGTACACATTTGAAATTTTTTAAAAAAAATAACTTTATTGTATTTTTATTTATTCATTCGCTTATTTTTTTAATTTGACCAGAGAGAGACAGAGGGTGAGAGTGAGAGAGAGAGGAAGTGAGAAAGCAAGCCACCAGGTTCAGGACTCGAACCCTGGTCAGCCATGTGGGAGTGTCCAGCGCCTTAACCACCATGCCACCTGCTGGTCCCCTACATTTGAACTTTTTAAAGACCCTTAATCTAATGACACACATCTATCATTATAGTATCATATGAAACAGCTCTCAGTAGCCTACATAGTCTCTGTACTGTATTTTTGTCTCTAAGCTAACCCCTAACCAACACTGATCTTTTCACTGTCTCTGTAGTTTTGCCTTTTCCAGAATGTCATGTAGTTGGAGTTATATAATATATAGCCTTTTCAGACTTGCTTCTTTCACTTAGTAATATGCATTTAGGGATTTATATGCCTTTCCATGGCTTCATAGCTCATTTATTTTTACCACTGAATAATATGCCACTATCTGGACGTACCACGTTTATCCACTCATCCTTTCTTCCAAGCTGTAGCAATTATGTATTGTTCTAGGGGAGCCCCAGATCTGAGAGGGCTTGCCCATAATGCTTACTGACTCCAAAGAATATACCCATAGGTACAGCAGAAGATGAGTTTACTTACATTGGGGGAAATAAGACTCCACTGATGGCTAGGCAGAGAATGAGCTATTCATAAATCAATTAAAGAAGACCCTGTAGAGTCCCTGTCACTAACATAGGGGTCTGGTTTGCACATACACTGCTTGAAGGTTACAGTAAAGGTTAGTTTATCAATTAGCAGAATCAGCAGAGTATGTTTAGTATATAGTGCTCCTAATCCAGGACATTAATGTGGGAGGGGTGCACATACCTCCAGAATGGCCCCAGGGTAGGTAGGCGAATTCCATGAGGTCAAGTTCATAGGCACAAGATATTCAGGAGGCCCAGCCAGAAAAGGAACTGGGTCTCAGGGAGACAAGCAAAGAGGGAGATCAGAGGAGAGCTCAATGTATGGATTCTACCTTTCACTTATAAAGTATCACATGTAAATATCTGTGTACAGATTTTTGTGAGGATATGTTTCCAAATCCTAGGTGAATACCTAGGAACAGGATCATATGATAAGAGTATGTTTGCTTTTTTAAGAACTGCCAAACTGGGAACCAGCAGTTAGCGTAATGGCTATGTTGCTGGACTCCTACGTAGTCGACCGCGGTTTGCGTCCTGGACCCAGTGGCTTAAAACTCACGCCGGGAGCGTGTGCGTGCGTGCCCAGGATCCCGAGAGGAGAGTGGAGGAGAAGGGATTGTGGCGTTGCCATCCCTCCTGGGGGGTGATTTCTCTCTTTCTGTCTCTATGTCTGTCTCTGTCTGTCTGGCGAGCACATGCGCCCTATAGTGAACAGCTCTCCAAAAAAAAAAAAGAACTGCCAAATTGTCTTCTAAAGTGGCTGTACCATCTTGCATTCCCTCCATCAATAAATGAGTTTCTGTTGCTCCATTGAATTGTCTTGGGACCTCTGCTGAAAATCAATTGGCAGTGGGACCAGCAGATTGTGTAATGATTACATTGCTGGACTCCCACATGGTCAACTGTGGTTCGAGTCTCTTATTTGGTGGCTTGAAACACATCAGGCATATGTGCATGTGTGCTCAAAATACCAAGTGAGTGGAGGAGAAGGGATTGTGGTATGGCCATCCCCCCTAGGGGGGTGATTTCTTGCTTTCTATCTCTCTGTCTCTCTAGTAAGCACACATGCCCTATAGCAAAAATCTCTCTTAAAAAAAGAGGAAGAAGGGACCAGCAGTTAGCATAATGGCTATGTCGCTGGACTCCCATGTAGTCGACCACGGTTTGCGTCCCGGACCCAGTGGCTTAAAACTCACGCTGGGCGCATGTGCATGCATGCCCAAGATCCCGAGAGGAGAATGGAGGAGAAGGGATTGTGGCGTGGCCATCCCCCCTGGGGGATGATTTCTTGCTTTCTGTCTCTCTGTCAAGCACACGCGCCCTATAGCAAAAAAAAAGGAAGAAAAGAAAATCAACTGGCAGTAAGTTGTTGGGTTTATTTCTGGATTCTCTATTCTGTTTCACTGAGTAATGTACTGGTTTTTGTGCCAGCTGTTTTGGTTATTATGGCTTTGTAATATATTGTTAAGTCAGGCAGTGAGATGCCTCCAACTTTATTCTTTTTGTAGTGTTCTTTTGGTGTATGGAGTCTTTTGTGATTCCAGACAAATTTTGTTATGATTATTTCTATTTCTGTGAAGAATATCTTTGGTATTTTATAGGAATTCCATCAAATTTGTATTTTAGTTTAGGTAATGTCTACATTTAGCTATACTGATTCATCCAGTTCATGAACAACAGATGTCTTTCCATTTTTTCATTTCTTCAATTTCTTTCTTTGGTTTATACTTTTCATTGCAGAGAGCTTTCAACTACTTGGTTGTTTTGCATGTGCATGTATGTGTGGTTACTGTAAATGAGATTGTTTCATTTCTGTCTCATTTCATTCATTGTTAGTAAACAAAGACACAATAGATATTTGTATGTTAACTTTGTACCCTGGGATTTTATTGTACTCATTTAACAGATATAAGAAATTTTTAGTGAATTTCTTAAGTTTTTCTATGTGTATAATCATGTTGCTTAAAAACAGAAACAAATTAACTTCTTCCTTTTCAGTTTGAATGCTTTTTATTTCATTCTATTGCTTGATTACATTGGCTAGGGCTTCCAGTACTATACTGAATAGGAGTGGAAAAGGCAGACACTCTTATCTTATTCCAGTTTTGGGTGGAAAAGCTTTCAACTTTTCCCCATTCAGTAAGATGTCAGCTGTGGGTTTGCCATATATGGCTTTTATTTTTTTAAGAAAGGTACATCTTCTAGGCCTATTTTGGTTGTTCATTTTCTTATTGTTGAGTATTAAGAGTGCTCTGTATATTTTGGGTTACAGTCCTTTATCAGATATGTCATTTGCAAAATAGCTTCCCCTATTCTGTGTCCTGTCCTCTCACTCTCTTGATAATTAAGACTGATGGAGGACAGCAGGTAGTGTGGTGGCTAAGGCACTGAACTCCACATGGCTGACCATGGTTCAAGTCCTAGACCCACGGCTTGCTTTCTCACTTTCCCTCTCTCTCTTTCTCTGTGTCTCTGTGTCTCTTTGGTGGGCATACATGCCCTTACAGCAAATTTAAATAAATAGCCATAGTTACTGTGCTTTAATAAAATAAGAAAATGAGTCATTTAATCTTTATTTCTGAAAGAAAAGGAACATATAGCCTTTTACAGCTAGAAAACAGGGCCAGCATCTAACTATAACATGTAGCTGCTTTGTAAAAAAACCACACAATTGCGCAATACAACTTAGTTGGGTCAATTCTGATATAACTTCCTTTAGAAATGTTTTCAATCGAAGCATATTTGTTTACTAGTGAAATTTTGTTTAGAGAAAGTTTTTCTTTTATTGCAAATACCAAATTAAAGCTAAGCACATAACTAAAACAAACTAAAAACATAGGTCTCCCAGATAAACAAAATACATAATTTTTCACTAGATCTATGGGCCACCAATGGCATATTCATGCTCTATATTCTACTTAAACACCTAGTTTTATGATGAAGAAATGAAATAGAAGAACAAACTCTACTTAAAATTCTGTACATTTTCTCCTTTTTACTGTCTAATCTAAAGGAGTTTTAAAAAATTAAAATTGGCCAGCAGGTGTCATGGAGGTTAAGACCGCTAGATTCCCATGTAGCTGACTGCGTATTTCGAGTCCTGGACTCGGAGACTTGAAAATCACATCAGGTTCATGTGTGCCCAAAATCCTGACAGAAGAATGGAGGAGAAGGGATTGTACCATGGCCATCCTCTCAGGGGATGATTTCTCACTTTCCATTGCAAACACGTGAGTTCTCTCTCTCTGTATTAAATGCTGTTGAACAGAAACTTCTCAGAACACACTCTTTAGAATTAGTTTCTAGGACGAGGTCTGAAAGAGAAGTCAATTGTGATTAAGCAAAAACATATAGCTAAACAAAAATAATTAATTTGATGGAATCCAAGATCTAATAAATTATAATACACTAAAAAAAAAAAAAAAAACATTTTATTGAGATCAAGAGTAATTGCTGAGGGCTGGCAGGTGGCGTGGTGGTTAAGGGTGCTGGACTCCCACATGACTGACAGTGGTTTGAGTCCCGGACCTGGCAGCTTACTTTCTCATTTCTCTCCCTCCCTCTCTCTCTTTCCCCCCTTCCTCTCTGGTCAAATTAAAATACATAAATAAATAAAGTTAAATAAAATATTCTTTAAAAAAGAGAGTAATTGCTGAATATTGAATTATACTTAAACAAAATCAAAGTATAATTATAACATTTTCATCACCATTTGCTAATTGCAATTTTTTTTTAAATACACGTCTTGATTCCAGGAAAATCTGAAAGAAGTGTTTTAAAAAATAATTAACATAGTAAGCCTTAATATGTGTAAGACATAATAAAAGGGACAGAAAGATATGAAAATTAATACACGTTTTACTTAGTCAACAGTTAACACTGCCCTTTCTTTCATACACATATTTCATCTAATGCTCACCAAAATCCCATAGTGTTATCTCTATTTTATATAATAAGAACACACGCAGGAACTTGCCCAGCATCATACAAGTAGCAATAGCTGCTATTTAGGCAGGAACTAAGGAATTTTCACTCCAAATCCAATGTTCCTTCTACTATTATTTTACTTTATCAAGAATAGTCTTTTTTTGTCTTCTTACAAAATACTTTATCAAATATACCACAGAAATACAAAAAAAGCTACTGAAAAATGCTAAATGCCAAACTGGATGGCAGAGAGGACAATAAGTCATAAGTAGGCCGGTACTGTTTTTTTTTTTGAGAAGAAACAAGATCTTGAAGAGTTGTAAAATAAAGATTGGGGGGGATAAGAAAAATGGGGGCATACAGAGAAGAAAGAAGGTAGAAAGTATTATAGCACTTAATATACATCACTTTATTTAAATAGTACAATAGCCCTGCAAAATTTGTTTCTATTTTCCTTATTTTATACCAAAAAAACCATCATTTAAGAAGGTTGGGAACCAGCAGTTAGCGTAATGGCTGTCGCTGGACTCCCACTTAGTCGACCGTGGTTCGTGTCCCGGACCCGGTGGCTTAAAATTCACTCAGGGCGCGTGTGCATGCATGCCCAAGATCCTGAGAGGAGAATGGAGGAGAAGGGATTGCGGCGTGACCATCCCTCCTGGGGGGTGATTTCTTGCTTTCTGTCTCTGTGTCTCTCTCTGGCGAGCGCACGCGCCCTATAGCGAAAACCTCTCAAAAAAAAAAAAATTGATTAAGGTTTAGTAATTTTCCCAAAATCACCCAGCTAGTAATTTTGAGCAAAAGTCTGAACTTAGGCCTGCCTGTCTCCACCACCTTTGTTCTTTCTTTCTTTTCTGTTTTTTTAAAGAGAATTTTTGTACAGGGTGTATGCACTTGCGGGAGAAAAAAGAGAGACAGAAAGCAAGAAATCACCACCCCAAGAGGGATGACCACACCACAATCCCTTCTCCATTCTCCTCTCACGATTTTTGGGCACGTATGCATACACATGCAGCCTGCGTGAGGTTTGCTTTTTTTTTTTTTTAATAATTATTTACTTAATTTTATTCATTATAATTATTTTTTAATTTGACCACAGACAGACAGAGGGAAAGTGTGAAAGCAAGCCACCAGGTCTGGAACTCGAACCATGATCTGCCATGTGGGAGTCTAGCACCTCAACCATTATGCCACTTGCCAGCTCTCCAGCATGAGTTTTAAGACACCAGGTCTGGGACTTGAACTGCGGTCGACTGCGTTGGGAGTCCAGTGACGTAACCATTACGCCATCCACTGGTCCCCCCAGCCTGTGCTCTCTCACAATGAACATGTCCTTTCTGATGTACAAACTCAGGGCCTTCACATTGTAAGAACACAGAGAAACTTCTGATAGATAGTGGTGATTCTGTGATTGTTGTTACTGAGGGACACAGGGCTCCACCTCACACTTCTGAAACCAAAGAAAAGGAGGGGTCCTTTCTCTAACTTTCTAGTAGCCAGTACAAAGGCACAAGATGTAGAGTCAGCAATCAGAAGTACCCACATAAATTAATGAATCCTGAGAGACAGGGACAAGAGTAGGTGTGATTAAATTGGCAGGACAGTAGTCTATCAGGGAGAACATAACAACTGCTGTGGCTTCTGCACAAAACTTTATGCTTCTCAACCTCCCTTACTTTCCATCTGTCCCCAAATCTAATTCTCCAAGAATCTCCACCCATTTTGTGTAAGAGCTAATCAATCTCCCTCTAATAAATTCCTTCTCTGTCTAAACTAGCCAGAGTTGGTTACTGCTGCTGAAAAAAAAGTCTACAAAAGCGAAGTAACCATGGGACCAGCAGTTAGCGTAATGGCTATGTCACTTTACTCCCATGTAGTCGACAGCAGTTAGAATCCTGAACCCGGTGGCTTAAACTCATGCTGGGAGTCTGTGCATGCATGCCTAAGATCCTGAGAGGAGAATGTAGGAGAAGGCATTGCGGCGTGGCCATCCCCCCGGGGGGTGATTTCTTGTTTTCTGTCTCTGTCTCTCTCCGTCTTTCTGGCAAGCACATGC